AGGCTGGTCTCAAGCTCCTGACATCAAGCGATCCGCCCACATCAGGCTCCCAAAGTGCTGGGATTACAGGTGTGAGCCACCGCGCCCAGCTAGTCCCTGTATCTTTTGCTGGCAAGTGGAGACTGCAATGCTGGTTCCCTCCCAGGTCTGTTGGGAAGAAACATTCTTGGAATGATAAGCTTGGGACCGAGACCATGTATCAGTGAGCCCAACCATGAGGCCTGGATTCAAATAGGAGCCCTGCCCTCCCAGAATAACCCAGGACACATCCTTCAACCTCGGGATTCTCGTCTGAAGAATGGCCAGGATAAAAGTCTCTTTCACAGAGTGGTGGTTAAAGCAGAAATTGGAGATCGTCAGTAAACTGCTGTGCTTCGTGCCTGAGTGTGTAATACCAGAGCCACCTTGTGTTAAGCACTTTCTAGGAGTCAAATTGATTTCAAGCATTAGTTCACTAAATCGTTAGACCAAGCCGAGGTATTGGAGAACATTCTAACCTCCATTTTCCAGATGAAACAACTGAGGCTTGGCAAGGTGAGTCACAGAGCCAGGAATGGGACCCCAGGGCTGCTTGACCCTGAAGCCCCAGATTTCAACTGTGACTGTATTAGGTGCTCATTTAAGATCTGGAAGGACCGACAAGGTTCAGCCACCATCCCATTTCACAGCTGAGAAAACTGAGACCCAGAGCAGGGAAGAGACCAGTTGAGTCACAGAACTGCTGGTGCTGGAACCAGGCCTAAGGTTCCACAATTGCTGCTCATGTTTATCGAGCACTTACTGCGTGCTAGGTTTGAAATTGCTTTCTGTCTATCGTTGTAGATCTTGACCATAACTCTAGGAAGATGGAGACTATCATAATCCCATTTTGCATTTGGGTAAAGTGAGGCAGAGAAGGAAGTAGCTTACTCAAGGTCGCACAGCTAATTAGCGGGAGAGGCACAACTCATACCCAGAGAGTCAGGCTCTAGGGCCCTCATCCAAGCCACTCTATGGCACTGCCTCCCAGCCAGGGCAGGCTGGCCTTGCCCGGCAGCCTGGGGCCTAGGCCGACTTGCCTGCCAAGGGGGTGGGATCTGCATGACTCCTACGGTACGGCTGCCACTGGGCAAGGCAGGGTGCTACTGAGCTGCAGTACTCAGGGAGACGGGCACGGAGCTGGGACTGGCAAGCTCCGTGTGCTCGAAGGCCATTAGCCCCCTGCCTCTCCGAAGAGAAGTTTATCCAACAAAATGCAGGCAAGCAAAGAACACGTTCCGCTTTATGTGTCTCTTGTTGTAGGCAGTGCACATCTTGGGAGACGTGTGGATGAAAGGCGCCATATAAAATGCAATCAATTATGAATCACCATTACTGAATTAATCACATGTATGATTAATACAGTAATAATAATTAATGGGAGTATGGTCTAGAGATTAGAGCTGAGGACTGACAGGGAGGGGTCAGATTGCTTCTAGCAGCCTCTGCCACTGCCTGGAGGTGTCACCTTGGGGAAGGCTGCAGGTTCCCCCTTCCCCTACCTTGGCAGTAGAAGGGGCCCCAGGATGTCTTGAATACCCCTAGATGGTCCCGGGCACAGGATCTTACCACTTCCTTAACAGCTGCATCTCAGCTGCTCAAGGTCAAGGGGACAAAGAGTTTCTCAAAGAATCAAAATCTTGGCCTGGCATAAGTGAACAGAGTGAGCGAGGAGAGGGGTGAGAACTTGGTAGGGGTGTCCTTTGAGCTTGCACTTGACTTAAATCAGCAATGTGAGCTCATTTTTTCTGTCTGTCGGTCTGCATCAGGACGTGTCTTCTCTTGGAAGTCCCCAGAGGGCCTGGACCTCATCTGTTACCTCTCATTACAAAGCTAGTAGATCATTTTTGCTTGTGACTTTATAATTTCCTGTTACTCATCTATACCATGCATATTTCCTCATTGTAAAGGAGTCAAGCAACCCAGAGAGGATATCTATAATAAAGCCCATTGGTCCCCCCTCATCTCCCCTGTTCATACTTTGGTGTATATCTTCATTGTCCACATGTATAATGGATGTGTCCATATATATAGTGGACTTGTATACAATCATATGGATATAATCATAGATATGTATGGTTATATACAAATCCTTTTAAAAAATATAGATGGAATAAAATTAAATGCATTGTTCTGCAGATGCTTTTTGATAGCAAATTTCGCATACACAATTCAAATTAAAACTGTGCATTGGAGCCAAAATCCCACCAGTGAAGAGGATGATTAGGCTGCTGGTGAGAGGGGAGCCAGCGGTTATTTTCGGGGAGATTCATTAACACTTTCCTGCCCCTGGTGCTCAGCTTCTTTTCATGGCTGGAAAAAGGTCATTTTGCAGAAGCTACCTTAATGAAGTTTAAAAATGGACGTCCCTCAACCACCTGGTCCCCACGTGGCCGAAATCCTATTTGTTCCCTATCTGGGAAAATAAGTGCTTTATTGTTCACTTGAAAGGAACATCATCTCCTGGAGGCTGCTGTGGAGTGCAGTCAACCCAGGATCATAGCACAGGGACCACCCTCCTGGGCAAATCCCCTCATCGTCAGATGGGGAAACTGAAGCCAAGAGCAGGGAAGGGATCTCCCCCAGCCACACACAGTGTGGTAAGTGCTGAGCCAAGAAAAACCCATTATCCCAACTCTCAGTGCAGTGCTCTTTCCATTATCCTGGGGTCTGGAAATGAGACCAGAAGACAGCTTCTGGCATAGGTCCCCGAAAAAACCCTGTTGGCATCAGCTTGTTGCAGAGGCAGGGAGTATTGAGGGGGGTGGGGGCTGGCGGGGAGGCACGTTAAAAATCGTTTCTAGTGGCACATATCTTTGCATACGGGTCACTGCAACCCTCCTGGCAGTGCTAGGGAGGAGGCACCCCTGGTCCCTCTGCTGTGATTAGATGAACTACAAATAAGAAGCGGCCCCTCCATCTCTTTGGCTGTTCCCGACAGCATCCAGTCCACAGTGATGATGGAGGAGCAGGGCGGTTCCCAGGGATTGATGACCCTGCCCCCGGGTGACAGCAGGCTGAGGGCTGACCCTGGTCATCACTCACCCTGTGCAGGAGCCCCACAGCCTGCCCTTCACTGCTGCCTGCAGGCTGAGTGCTTAAAAATCACGCCCCTAAGATCTGTTCTCTTCTCCCAAGGAGCTTCCTCCTGCATAGAACAGGTAACCAGGGGCTGGCCCATGTCTGCCTTCCTGAGCTGCTTGGTGGGATAGGCCCATCTCCGGTGGTAGGCATCTGAGAGCGTGTGCAGGTAGAGGCACACAATGGCCCTGTTTTGACCCTTCTTTGAAAAAAGAAGGATTTACCATTCATCTCTCACATATGGGGAAACTGAGCCCCAAAGCAATCTGGGCCGTGTTCCAAGTTAATCAGCCAGCCAGGCCAGTGACAGAGCATCACCCAGGAACCCAAGAGCCCTGCCTCCCCGGCCAGAGTCCTTAGCTATGTGACCTTGGGCAAGTTACTTAACATCTCTAACTTGAGGCTTTGCTACTAGCAGTGAAGTCACTGGGCTTTGGCGAAGATTCAGTGAATAATGCACACAAGCTGGTTTGCATGGAGTCTGGCATAAAACAGGTGTTCAATAAATATATTATTATTATTACTATTATTATTACAGCAGATGACAATCTTTAATTCTGCATCCTCTGCCTGTTATGTCACAATATTCTAAATATTATTCAGCAGTATAACTCCCTCTCCAGTTTTCAGGGCAGCTGAGAGCAGGGAAGGGTTAAGGTGGAGGTGAAGGGTGGCAGTAGGGCCGGGCACTGAGGTGCCATGTCTTGCTCCATTCCCAACACCCTCTATGACCTTGGGCTGGTCTCTCTCTCTCTCTCTCTGCCTCTCTCTCTGTCTGTCCTCAGGCCCTTTGTTCTTGATGCATCCAAATGATAGTGCTGGCTGCTCAAGGCTGCAGTGAGCCCACCCCAGGAGGCCAGGAGTGTCCGAAAACCACATGTGCTTTTGGAAGATGTGGAAACTCTCCCAGAAGCCCTGGGAGGCAGCCTGGTAGGAAACCACCCGGGGGTCGGAGAGTACAGGGCTGCCCGATGTGATGTTGCCAACTGGGTGGCCTCTGCCCTGGGTTGCTGCTACGGGAGCCCTCCCACACCTGCCTCCCATGCTTGCAGGGGAGGGAGGCAGAGAACCCCTTAGCCAGGCCCCTCCTGCCCCCCTACTCTGCACTCTCTGCAGAGCTGGCTTGGCTTCGTCAAAAGCAGGGCCCATCAGGGTGGAGGCGGCGATGTGTCAGCTGGTATTCAGGCTCTGGTTGTGCGCTCAGATCGCTCCCCCTCCCCATCTCCCCAAATCCACCCACCCACCCCGGTACCCACTGCTTGGGGCCTTCTGGGTGGCAGCACTTCACAGGGAGAGACCGAGGAGCAGCCCTGAGCCCCTGGCTGTGGGGGGTGGGGGAACTGACTCACTTGGCCCCCCTCCCTCGTGCCGATGGGGCAGCCCCCACACCCATGGGTGCTGGCACCCCAGCAGGCCCCCGGGTTTTGGAAAAGGAAGCTGCAGCCCGGCTGCGCCTGACCGGAGCCGGCTGAGGATGCGCTCTGGGCGCAGGGACCCGCTGGCCCCCGGGCCGGGAGGCGATGTTTAGGCAGCGACCCCCCAGAGGCTGCCAGGGCCACCCTGGCCGCGGGCCCGCGGGGACTCCCCTGCTCGCCGCGCCCCTCCCCGGGCCGTGGCGCGTCCCCCGAGCCGCGCAGTATTTCCTTCCTGCACCTTTAAGAAGACCGTTGCTCCGTGGTGGGATGGTGTGTTAAAGCCACACAGAGGAAGTTACGCAGCCCGGATCAGACCGAGAGATAAAAGCCCCGATGGTGATCGTGAGTGATGGCAAGAGGATTTAGCCTCGGCATTAACTTGGAGCGGAGTGCAGGGGGGCAGTGAAGCGCCCGCCATCTGGCCCGCGCCGCGCCGGGGGGATGCCCCGGCCTGTCTCTTATACACATCTAGATGTGTATAAGAGACAGAGGGTGGCGGTCCTCGGCCCTCCCGGGTCTCCGCGCCGGGAAGCCGCTCCGAGCCGGGGTAAGGCGGGCGGGGAGAGCCCGGGAGGCGGGCGGGGGAGAGGCTGCAGCTTGGCCAGGCTGGTTTCATTTTTAAAGGGCTTCGGTGACCATGCAGGCTTGCCCGGGCCCGGGAGCCACTTACAGCGGCCCGGCAAAGGCTCGGATGCAAAAGTTGTTTGGTGGCGGCTGCTACGAGCTGAGGACTGGAGTCGCCCCAGAGGGGTGTGTGAGGGTGCGTTCTTAGCAGCATCTTAAAGGGGTAGCTTGTCTTTCTGGCCGGCTTCCCCCGGGTCCTTTCCTTCGCGTGTGTGTGTGTGTGTGTGTGTGTGTGTGTGTGTGTGTGTCTATGTGTGTCGGGGAGGGATGTTGCAAGGATGCTCGGATGTGTCTCGAAAAAGGAAATTAACCCTACTCCCGCGCCTCTCCCCCACCCCAATTTCACCGCCACCGCTTAGAACCACCCCCATCCCGTGCCCTCCCATCTCTCTGCAAACTGGGAGCCTGTGAGTTGCACAGAGAAACTCCCGCGGCCGGGGCTGAAAACTTCTCCTGGCGCCGGGAGGGGGTCGGGAGGTGAGGGGGCGCAGGCACCGGCTTGGGGCCGGCGTGGAGTCGAACCTGGAACTGAGCGGCGCGCAGGTTGGGGGAGCAGAGGCGGCGGGAAGGCGGGAAGAGAGGACCGCGGGCTCTCAGGGTCCGCCCGCTCTGGAGTAAGTTGGCCGTCTGGGCTGGGGGCGGCGGCAGCCGGGTCGCCGCAGTCTACAGCGCCGGGGCAAAGGATCCCACTAGTTCCTGGGCGCCCTGCTCGGTGTCTTTTAATTAAGTGAGGCAGTGCCGAAAAAGGGGGCACCTCAGTCCGGGCCGGGCCTTTATTACAGGCTTAATTATTAATTGCTCCCGTGGCTTGCACGCAACTTTGGGAAGACAAAAAGCAGCTGCGGGGCTGCCGGGTCGTCGGTGTCCCAGGCTCGCAGCCGGCCCGAAGCACTGACTCGACCCCGGCCCCGGCCTCGACCCCGCCCGCCGGGACCCACCCGAGGCCGGATGCTCGCGCCCGGCCTCCCGCGCCCAACTTTCCAGGGCTCCTGCGGGCGGGGACCCAGGGGCCAGATAAAGGGCCCGCTCCGGAGCAGGGGACACCGGGGCCGCCGGAATTAGGACGCCCGCCGAGGCTGCGGTGAGCGCCGGTTGCCCGCTGGACCCCGCCCGGGGCGGAGGACGGGAAGGTGACCCCGCCGGCCAAGCTCCCTTTCCCTCCTGGCAACCCCCACCCTCCCCCGAAGGCAGATTTCACCCCCCTCCGCCGCCCCTGCCGGGGAGGGAGAGGGAACCCCGGGGTGGGCTGAGTCCCCTCCAGTCCCAGGAGCCCCCAGCGCCCTCCCTCCGGTGCCCCCAGGGGCCCCGCGCCCGCCGCGGCAAGTTTCCCACACGGCGAGGGCGCAGCCGGCAACTCCAAGAGGAACCTGCTGGCGAGCCCAGCCAGCTCGGGAGGCGCTAATTCAATAAGACAGAGAAATCTGAGTTCAGAAATCCTGATAAAATCTAATTTTCGGGTTTTAATACCTTGGCTATCAGCCCCCCTCGGTTCCTGAGGACTCTTAAAAGAAAATAAAGCACATTGATTCTATTTGTTTCTGGGAGCTGCAGTTTCTTAATAATATCAGGTGAAGATAAATTTTCCACGGAGAAAACGATCCTCCGGGATGCAGCCTTTTACTCTGAAAATTTCCCTGCCGACTCCTCACTCTCTGCGCTCCTCCTCGTTATCCGGGGACTCCTGTGTCTCTTCCCCCCTTCTCTTTTTTCTTTTTGGCAGAACCCGCCTGTAATATTCGTGTGCTGAGCTCATAATTCCCCCTGCGATGCCAGCAACGCCCAATTGATTGACTAGTTGTAAACACATTTTTCCCCTGGCAGATTTTGTTGTTGTTAGGGGTTTTTTTTATTTATTTATTTATTTTCCAGGGAATGCGTGGCATTTAAACCAACAGGACTGCAATTAATAGATTTGCGAGTTGCGCCGCGCGCGCCGCTCGCCCCAGCCTCCCGGCTTCCGGGCCTCGCTGCCTCCCCGCGCCCGGCGGCGTCCAGCGCCCTGCAAGCCCCGAGCAGCCGCGGGTCCTGCAGCTGAAGGAAGGCGGCAGCTGCGCCCTCCTTGCAAGCCGCAGCCCGGCGTCCTGGTTGTCCCAGCAGCCAGGAGCTCCCTACCTGTTAGTGAACAGTTGGGAGTCGACTGCTGGAAGAATTAATTAGGAACGTGCTGTGCTCTGGGCAGCGCGAGCTCGGGTAGTGGCATCCAAACCTTTGCCGGCCGCGCTATTTTATTTTTACTACATTTTCTCAGGTTGCAAAAATAGACACCGGGCACGTTCTTTCTGAGAGTTTTCTAGCAAGGAGCGCCTTCAAGGCCGGGCAGGCTCTATAACAGGTTCCTCTTTAAACAGCCAGAGGTGAGACGGGGAAAATGGTCCTGGCTGGGTTCTCATTCATCTCCATCAGCAGCCCTTCACCCAGAGAGAGGGGCAGGGGTCGCCCTGACGCAGATGAATGAGTCCCATGCCTGGAGCCCTGGGGCCCTGGCTGGGGGCTGCTCCCAACCTGAGGTGCTCAGGGCAGCAAGTGTCCGCCACTTCGGTTTGTCATTTTTGGCAGGAGCGTTTTTCTGTCTGGGTGGAGAATGGAGTTTCATGGAAGCACAGTTAACTCTTCAGGGGCCTTGCATGCACAGAAGGTGAAGAGGATGTCAGGGGAGAGCCAGGCTCAGACTGGACATTTGGGGCGGTTTGGGAAGTCAAATGCAATCATCGGAGGCATAGTAACCAGAATAATTAATCATGCAGGCACTTCTGCTGTAACTTATTGCAGTAACCTTTGCCCTATTGGCCAATATTTTTGGCCAGAATCCCATGCTGGCTGGACTTGGATTCTCCGGGTGATGTATCCAGTGTCTGGAACACACCACAGTACTGCAGTCACGTTATTTCCCGATGTAACGTTCATGTAACTGGCATCTATTTTGATATAACAGTTATATCTATTTTGATTTTAAATAATTAACAGAAGCTTAAAATAGCACAGCAATAATCATAATAGTAACCTGTTTATAGACCTACCCTCTAAGAATGATTTGCAAAATGCTGGCCTTGATCAGAAAAATCTGAACTCACAAAACAGTGTCACCTCTTTGGCAGTCTTCAGTATCCCTAGTTTCTTACAGTTAAAAAAAAAAATTAAATTTGCCATTTCAGATTGTGCCTATGATTGGGGAGCTGTTTCTCAGTGCCTGGCTCTTCGTGGTTGGCCAGCACGTGGAGCACTCTGTTCATCTGTACATATAGGTATGGGCTCATCTGCACCTATAATTACATTCTCATCTTTGCCTTCAACAACTTTGACATTCTGACTTGACAGTCACAGTATTTTAAAGCAACCATTAAATCTTGGCTCCTGGAGATGCTTTCAAAAGTCTCTGACCCCCAAACAGGGGCACTTCTGCTGAACTAACCCTCCCATAAATGAGAGAAAAATGCATCATCTTTTAAAGAACATGCCCGATCTCCAAATGTGCAACTCTGATATTAATAAAAATAACCCGGTTTTCTCGGGAGACTTTGCTAATGCAACCTCATTTTTTGCACATTTTGCCGGAGAGCTTTTGTTCTTATACGTCTCTATTCTCCCCCTCTTTAATTTGTTGCAGGTGTTGTTGCTAATGAGCTCTCTCTCTCCTCCCCTCTTACAATGAAAGACAAGCCAGACCCCAGGTACCTGGATGGATTGAGAGCTGAGATCTCAGAAACTTCATAATAAGTTGCCGATGGCTACCAGCCAAGGTCAGCTGGGCCCCATTAGTGCCGGCCCCCACCAAAGCAGAGCCAAATAGCCTTCTCCCCGGTTAGCACCTCAGTAGCTTTTTATTCTAGTCCAGTCACACAGCTGTTGCCACCTTAAGCTCATATGAAAGAAATCTCTTTTATTGGTCTGAGAACCCAAGTCCAGTCCCAAAGAGGGAACATGTTTCCAGCTAACATGTCCACCTCCTGATTTTATTTTATCTTTACAATGCAGGCTGGAGGGTTGTTTTGCAGTGGTGTTGAGCACGTCACCCATTAAGAGCCCTTTAAAGACCTGGATTGATTGGAAGGACAAAAATTAAAAGCAATCTGATCCGGCCTCATGCAGGATCCCTGCGGATTTCCTCCTTATCCCATTTCCATCCACTCTCACAATTTGAGAGTCTGCCTGATTTGATCAGATTCACCTCCGGGGGAGGTGTGATGACAAGGTTAGGAGGACGTGAAGTTGTGGGCAACTTTCTGATCTGTCCATCAGCGGTCTGAGAAACACTGGTTCTGAATTTTCCATATCGGCCTTTTGGAAACAACAAGTTCCTCGCTGTTTGCAAAGCTTCAGTGCTTGGGTCCCTGGGACACCCGGCCACCCTCGCCTGGTAGATGTGGCATTTCCATGCTGAGGCCACAAGTCCCGCCTGACCCCGTCGCTGCCTCTCCAGGGCTTCTCTGGGCCGCGCCCCTGCGGACTGCGCAGCCATGCTGCACCTGCTGGCGCTCTTCCTGCACTGCCTCCCTCTGGCCTCTGGGGACTACGACATCTGCAAATCCTGGGTGACCACAGATGAGGGCCCCACCTGGGAGTTCTACGCCTGCCAGCCCAAGGTGATGCGCTTGAAGGACTACGTCAAGGTGAAGGTGGAACCCTCAGGCATCACGTGCGGAGACCCCCCTGAGAGGTTCTGCTCCCATGTAAGTCCACTTACTGCTCTTTTGCTTGTCCAGGCCAAGTGGGAGGAGGTCTGGAGTAGATCCTTGGGGTGGATGAGCAGAGCCGGGAGACTGAGATGCAAGGCTGACTTTTCTGCCTCTTGACCAGGTCTGGACCAGACCTGGACCAGGTCTTTGTCCCACCTTGGAAATGTGTCAAAACAGAGGCCACCCTGAGGACACTGGGGTCATGTGCCATTGTTCTCTGGGGTAGGGACATTCTTGGCCAGCTGGCCACTAGATTAGTTCCCTCGGGAAGCCCATAGTATTCGGCTCCCCAGCCTTGAGGGTAAGCCCCACCTCCTGTGTAGGAAGTCAGCATTCTGGGCGAGTGAGCGAGATGCTACCTGCAACATGATACCCCTCTGTTCATCCTTTCTGCGGTGCAACCTCTTAGCCCCCTCAATCCAATCCAGCAGACTGTACCATGAAGCTAGAGCATGCCAAGCACTGAGCTGGCCCTTTGCATGGGGAGGTTTGACGGAGGCTCAGAGGGGATTCACAAAGGAGGAAGTTGGGGGTCAGGCCGGGGCAGACAGTGCAGCTGGGTCCCCTTCCAGTTCCATTCCTACATGCAATGGCGATAGCCTCCAGATAAGTCCGGGGAAGGCAGACATTCAGGCGTTGTCGCTTGCCTCCCTAGTTAGAGAAGGAGTAGTCCTAGGGGCACGGAGTACTTCAGTACTCAAGTAATGTTAACAGCAACAACAACAGCAGAGATGGTTGCACGCGAGCTGCCTGAGTGTGTGGGCTGAGCCTGATGCTATTGCCAGGAGTCCTCCCTTCAGCCAGCCAGGTGGATTCTGTGTTGTATAAAGAAGGAGTGTCAGGGGAGGGCTCTGACCCAGTGACCTCTGTGGGCTTCTGTTCTGTCATCTGCAAAATGGGCACACTAAGAGCACACGCTCCTAGGATCATTGTGAGGAGTTTGTGGTTTAATTAATGTAGGTGAAGGGTTCGGAATAGGACCTGGCACAGACTAAGCACACGCAGATGTTAGCCACTGTCATTCCGGTCATACAGGTCGGGTAACTGAGGCAGTCCAGGGGTGGTGGGTGAAGGCATCTGGCCAAGGTCACGCTCCAGGAGGTGGCGAAGCTGTGATTCCAGCTTAGAGTGGCTCCAGTGTCTCTGAGCTAAGCTGCTTCCCGCTGGGCAGTGCTTTGCAGGCCGTCCCTGAAGGCAGGGCAGAGCCGGGTAGGACAGCCAGGCTGCAGGAACTCACAGGAGGGGGTCGATGCCATCCCCCAGGCAGCTTGTGCCTCTGCATGTCCTTGGAGGAGCCTCCAGGTCTCCGGGCTTATGGTGGGGCTGACCCGGTGCCCCCACCTCAGAGTCCTGAGGACTCGATCTCATGGGCCGGCTTTGCTCACATCACAGGGCAGTCAGCCCGAGAAGGTAGCTTCTTACTTGGGCTTGTCGGTGGCGCTGAGGCTGTCGTTGTGGGTGGTGGCTGGGCCAGGGCCAGCTGGGGAGAGAGGGAGGGAGGGAGGGAAGAAGGCGGCACGAAGCCAGGAGCTGGGGCTGGATAGTCTGTGGTCATAACTGCCCGGGGGACCGCAGGGCCAAGCAAGGGGGCTGGGCTCTGGAAGCCAGGAGGAAAGCCAGGATGGGGGCTGGTGCTCCATCCACATCTCAGAGCCGGTGGGAGGGTTCTCTACACACTCCCGGGCACAGTCAACTTCTGTCTTGTATTAGAGTCTTGACTGTATTTTTTCTCTTAAATATTAATCACTGCCTCAATGTGCTTGGGGGAGCAGTTAAATCATAATTCTAGAACCAGCTTCGAGTCGAGGACTTGAGGTGGGGAGATGACCCTCAGAGGCAAGTCTGAGGCCCTCTCCTGGCCAAAGCTGGCTAGGATGTCGTTGGCCCTGGACCTCTGCCCCGCCCCCACCCTCAGAGAGAGAACCTAGCGCAGTGGGCAGCTGCCCTGGGGAGGTGGTCACCCCTCCCAGTCCCAGTGCTGGCAGAGCCTCATCCCAGGCAGCCGTCCTCAAGCCCTGGGGTCTGGAAGAGTGCACTCTCCCATCCCACCCCCTGCTCCTCTCCTGGGCAGACAGGTGGGGAAGGCAGGGGAGAAAGAGTAGTCCCTCCACAATCTACCACATGGGCGAGTCCTCAGTGTCCCGCCACCTGTTTGATAGACTTAAATATTTCATCATGGGCTGCCATCCGGCTCTGCTTTGATTACAAATGTGCGTCCGATGAGGATGGGGAGGCCGCTGTGGCAGGCTGCCGGCTTTTGGAGGGCTGGCTTTTGGAGGGGTGGTTTTTGGAGGGCTGGCTTTTGGAGGGGTGGCTTTTGGAGGGGATGGTTACTTCCAGACAGATCTGGATTCAAACCCTGATGTCACAGTTTATTGTGGCTTCCCTGGGAGGGTCCGGGCAGGTCTCATTTAATCATCTCTAGGACGCTCTGAGGTGGGTCCTACTCTAATCTCATCTTAGGGATTAGAAAATGTTGCCTAAATCCTGCCAAGGTCACTTTGTTGAGAAGGCAGGCTGGGAACTGCCTGTGGCCAAGGCCCATGCCCACCCACCAGGTGGCACAGCCTCCCCTCTCTCAACTTCTGACCTCTCTGAGTTTCACTGTCTTCCTCTGCCCAGTAGAAGCCATAATGTAGGAGCGTCACGGTGCTGGTGGGACAGCGCAGCCTGGCCACGCTGCCGTGGTACGCACAGACACATAGTAGGTATTCAATGTGCAATACTAGTCACTGGCTTATTACTGTTGTGATTATGGCCTTGGTGACTTTCCTGGCTTCTCTACTTCCCCAGAGTCCTTTGCCTCTCCCCAGCCTTGGGGACACCACGCCTTGTATTTCTAGTCTCTGGCAGCAGGTGGAAGATGCAGGCTGGGGGAGCTTCCATGCCTAAGCCCCAGCAGCTGTTGTTAACCAGCCACCAGGGGGCGCCCTCATGGCGGCCAGATGCCCACTGCCCCCCTTAGCCTTGCCATCACCCATGGGTCCTTGCTCTCCTTCGCCCCTTCTGCAGCGGGTGCTAGGTGTGTCCTAACATCCAGCCTACGGGAGCGCAAGCCTGGCTGCACTCTGAGGGTACAAGAGGGGCCCGGGGCGGACAGCCTTTTCAGATGCAGATTGCAGACCCTCTCTCTCTCCCAGGCTTCTTGTCCTTCAGCAAGGCCACCTGAGAACTGAATTGTAAATTCCAGCCTTGCAAGGAAGGGGAGGAGGCTGAAAGACAAGATAAATGAATAAATAAAAACCTATTGGCTCTAAATGCACAATGAGAATTAATAGGGATGAGCTCTCAACCGAGGATTCTTGGGCAAGGACAAAATTGCAATGAGGGCTGTGGGAGAAGAGAAGCCGCCCCCACCCAAATTCCCAGGGCCTGCCCCAGAGGTCAGCCCGGCAAGGCTGTGGGCCGGGGAGGAAGCAGGAAGGGTGGCGGGCAAAGGCGTCTCAGCCCCTCACAGGGTAACAGCTGCTTGCAGGACCCCTTCGAGATGGGGAGGGCATGACTGGCATTGGGAGGTACCCCTTAGCGCTCTGCAAGGCAGGGCTCCCGCCGGCTACCAGTGCTCCCCGTGACAGGAAGGGGGAAACCGTTCCTTTGTGCCTTGGAGACAAAAGCTGGCCACCCGAGACTCAGGGGCAAGCTGATGGGCAAGAGAGAGATGGAGAGAGCTACTGCCCAGGCAGCCTCACCTTGATAGAGGTGCAGAATCCTAGACTCCGCCCCACACCTGCTGAGCCAGAATCTGCCTTTCAACAGGAAGTCTCTGGAGCGCTGGGGTGGGATTGGTCCACGGTGGTGGATGAAGCCTGTCATTGACAAAGTGGCCTGAGGTCTGTGGGTCCCATGGGGTCTGTGCAGGTTAAGGGGAGGGCATTGCTGAGGGGAGACAGGAGCCAACAGGAGAGCAGCAGGGGTCCTGGGAATGGGGGAATGGAGCTGGGAGCCTCGCTTACCAAGGCGGGGCGGGGGATCTGTGCTTCTGAGCAGGAGCCAGTGGAAGGTACCAGAGAGAGGCAGCACTAGCTCCTGACAAGAGCTACAGGCCTGGAATCTGAAGCCCTGAGCTCACATCCCAGTGTTGTCACTTGGGGGCTGGGTGGTCTGAGGTGAGTCATTCAAATTCTTCAAGCCTCAGTTTCCCTATCTGTAAAAGGGGTATGATCGTGACTGCCTTGCCCACCTCACTGACTTCCTGGGAGAGGAAATGCCTCTCACAACATACCGGAAGGTGCTTGGCGGAGACTGTAAGTTCTGTTCTAGTGTGAGGCTTGAATATTATTGTTTATCCAATCTTGATAAGCTTGATGTTTCCACATTGACGTGGGTGACCATTCGAATTTCAGCCATGTTGGAGTCTCTGGCATACAGAGGCGTCTTGGCTTTGGTGGACAGGAAAGCCGAGGGCAGGCTGTGAACGTGCATCTTTGAACACACATCTTACTCAGTTAGAACCTGCTTTAGCTTCTCTGTGCCTCAGCTTACCCAGCTGCAGAGCAAATGGTTCCATTCCTCCCCCAGGGGGTCTGCTGGGCTGATGAATGCAGATAGCAGGCAGGTCCTGGAGTCCTCGAGCCACTCCCCACCGTGACATTGAACACCACATGCAGAATCAAGGTCAGAGACACTCTGCCTCCTGCCGGACCTCGATGATCATGAGATGTTTCCATCCAACAATGCAGAGCTGACCAGCCCAATGGCTCTGGCCTCCTTCCCCCTCTGTGTTTCTGGCCGTAGCCTCCCTCCTCTCGCCATCACACCCATCCAGTTGGTAGGTGTTTCCAGGTCTGACCTCATGCCAGGTGCAGTTGTGATGGGAAAGTGAGATGACTAGAGAGAACTGAAGCGAAAAACAAGAGAAAACACAACAGACATTGAAGACAATGCCCAGCTAACAACAAATGGTGACAGCGGCACCTGATATGACAGGAGCTGGGGAAGGAGGAGGGCGTGCCCCTGCCCATGAGCTCTCCCGGCCACTCCAGCCTTGGCCCGTG